TTGTTATATCCCCTACCTGCACAGATTTAATATGTTTGGATATTGTTGATGCTCTATCATTCTCTTTTTCTTTCCCTCCTCCTCTGATTTCCATAGACTAGTTCCACTATTGCAAACATGTTTTACATATAAATTTATATATGATCATGTTTGGTTTTGTGTATATGTTTATCTTTCTGATCTATCTTCCACATATGAGAGAGAACATGTGGCTTTTGTCCTTCTGAACCTGGCTTACTTCACTTAACATGATGTCCTCCAATTGCATCCATTTACCTTCAAGCCACATGGTTTCATTCTTCCTTTTGGCTGAGTAAAACTCCATTGTGTATATATATACCACATTTTCTTAATCCATTTATCAGTTGTAGGACATTTGGGTTGTTTCCATAGTTTAGCTATTGTGAACAGTGCTGCAATAAACATTGGTGTTCAATTGTCTCTATTGTATCCTGACTTACATTCCTTCAGGAGTTGTATCACTGAATCATATGGCAGTTCTATTTTTAGTTTTTAAGGAATCTCCATACTGTTTTCCATAATGGTTATACTAATTTATATTCCTACCAACAGTGTATAATTGTTCCTGTTTTACCACATCCTCACCAACATTTGTTGTTGTTTGTGTTTTTAATGGATTTCTAACTGGGGTGAAATGAAATCTTAGTGTAGTTGCGATCTGCATTTCTTTTTTGGGCAGGGAAGTTGAGCACTTCTTCATGTATTTATTGGCCATTTGTATCTCTTTCTTTAACAATTCCCTATCCAATTCATGTGCTCATTTCTTTACTGGGATGTTGATTCTTTGGGGGTTGAGTTTTTTGAGTTCCCTGTAGATTCTGTATATTAGTCCCTTATTGGATGAACAGCTGGCAAAGCTTTTCTCCCATTCTGTGGGCAGTCTCTTAAGTCTAGTGACTATTTCTTTTGCTGTGCAGAACCTTTTCAGTTTGATGCAGTCCCATTTGTTCATCCTTTCTTTTATTCGCTGAGTGATTGCAGTTCAACTAAGGAAGCCTATGCCTATAGGTTCCAGTGTATTTCCTACTACTTCCAGTAGTTGTTGCAAAGTTTCAGGCCTGGTCCTTAATCGACTTTGAGTTGCTGTTTGTACAGGGTAAAAGACATGAATCTAGTTTCAGTTTTCTGCATGCAGATATCCAGTTTTCCCAGCAACATTTGTTAAAGAGACTGTCTTTTCTCCATTATATATTTTGGGTGCCTTAGTCAAAAATCAGGTGGGTGAATCACTAAAGGTAATACAGCATATTACCAGAAGCAAAGAAAAACCACATGATCACCTCAATAGATGCAGAAAAAGCCTTCAACAAAATTCAATATCCTTTCATGATAAAAGCTCTGATGAAACTAGGAAAGGAATATATCACAACACAATAAAGGCTTTATGTGACAAGCTTTATAGCCAACATAATACTAAATGGGGAAAAACTAAAACCATCTCCTCTAAAGTCAGGAACAAGACAAGGGTGTTCACTCTCTCCACTCTTATTAATTCTTAGAATTCCTAGCTGGAGCAATAAGACTGGAAGAGGGAATTCAAATAGAAAAAGAAGTCAAACTATCCCTATTTGCAGATGACATGATCCTACACTCCAAAAACCTAAACACTCCACCAAAAATCTCCTCAACATAATAAACATCTTCAGCAAAGTAGCAGGATACAAAATCAATTTACAAAAACCAGTAGCCTTTCTATATACCAACAATGATCAGAATGAGAAAGAACATAGGAAAACAATTCCATTTACAATAGCCTCAAAAAAATAATAAAATACCTGAGAGTAAACAAAGGAAGTGAAAGACCTCTATAATGATAACTATAAACTACTGAAGAAAAAAATTGAAGAAGACTACAGAAGATGGAAAGATCTCCCATGCTCATGGATTGGTAGAATCAACATTGTCAAAATGGCTATATTAACAAGAGCAATCTACATGTTCCATGTGATTCTCATCAAAATTCCAATGATATTCATCACAGAGATAGAAAAATCAACACTAAAGTTCTACGGAAGCACAAAAGACCTTGGATAGACAAGGAAATACTGAGCAAAAAGAGCAATGCTTGGAGGTATCACAATATTGACTTCAAACTATACTACAGAGCCACAGCAATAAAAACAGCAGATACTGGCACAAAACAGACATGAAGACCAATGGAACAGAATAGAAGTATTAATCTGTATAGGTTCCGCTTCTTTGATGGTACCCAGACCACTGAGAACATGGATCACTAGATGAGGAAGGGAAGCAAATTCCAATGGAATTCATGGGGGTGAAGTCAGGAGTCATATGTGACCTAGTCTGCAATTGAGGTTACCATGCATTCAATTTAGTTTTTAATGGATTTCTATTCTGCATCTACCTTCTGAATCAAAAATGCCCTTTGACAAGAAACAATTCCACTTTACCTTCAGTTTCTCCTGCAACGTGGATGTAACGTTGGTTTGTAAAATAAGGAATCTCAGGATAACCAAATACTTTGGAAGTACTACGAAAGTTTATGTTTCTAAAATGCTGACAGAAACATACTGCTAGTTCTTTTTTTAAATCCATTTACCTAACCATTAATCCAAGTTTCTTGAAATGGTCCTAATTACGGCTTTTTCTATTAAGATCCAGCAGTTTTCCTGCCTGCCAAAAACCAATATGATAGATTTCCCTTTGAAAAATAATATATATTTAAAAATAAGGCTATGAAGAGTAAAGGAGATAAAAGAATGAGAGTAGCAAAATGAATAAATATACAAACGCTGCAAGTGAATGGCTAGTAACAATTTTAAATACAATGCATAAACATAATATTCAAACATTAAAAGTAGGATAAAGTTTAGCACTAAAAAAATGTGCCCACCTTTCTAACTCTAAGAATAAAACATCAAAACAGAGCCAGAAACTTCAGTTTCTGGACCAGAAGCAGAGGCTGGATTTACCATCATGTCTGAAATGATTAGAAAAAGACAAATGTATGAAACCATGGTTTTCAGACAATAACCAAAGGGTAACACAGAACAGAGGAGGGAAACAAATGAGGTAAGTCTTATGATTGCACTACTTTTCTGCCTGGAAGGTGATTTCCAGACCAAAGCTCAGGAAGGGGGAATCTCAAAGAACCCAGAACTGTTGAGTGAAGAAACAAGGGATCAGACTTTATAGAGGCCCATCACTTAGAATTTGTGGGGTGGAGTACCAGATGGAAGGACCAACACAAAAACAGACCTCTAGAGATCTGGGGAGGTGTCATTGGCTGCACTCTGATTGGCCCATGCATGAGAAAACTTCCCAAGGCCACAGAAAACAGCACAGGGAAAGAAAAGGGTAGCCTGGGCAGGAAAACAACATCTGTTGGTGCTTTGAGACCCATTTGCTAAACTGAGTTGGGTCATTCAGCAATGATAATGGCAGACCTCATCACTGAATTCAGTCATCATATGACTCAGACCTATATAGGTGCCCTGAATGCAAGCCCAGTAAGTGTGTATTCTACTTCACAGGCTATCTTCCACATGGCTCAAGACATTTATGCATTCTAGAAAGCTGGACCTGAAGCAGGGAAGGAGATGAAGGAGAGCGAGGAGCTCCTGCATGTACACTAGGGTCCAGGTGGTTGTACCAGGGTCCTGGAGCTGAATGGACACCAGTCTCACCTGGTACATGGCTTGGAGCCAAAATGAAGACACTTAGTAGATAGAGCTGTTATTGTTAGTTTTTCACAGAGGAGAATTATTTATCCTTCTCACGGTCTCGACTTTTTGGTTCTTGCAGAAAGACCATGGTTTATTTCTAATCTTAGTTTTGCATGGTCCCATAGCAACCATCCAAAGTTCTGGATTAAATATCTGTACAGATTCAGACTGTTTTCTGAAAATAAAATCCCCTACACCTGGAATTCCAAATCAACATTTTTAAACATATCTAAAATATAGCAAAACAATGGTTCAAATAGAAATAAAATTTTTTTACCCACATTCCACCATTTCATTGTTCCTCAAATGGAGTGTTTTTGAGTTTCAAGGAGATTATAGATATGGAAGATGCAAAATTGGATTTAATCCAATTGTACATATCTATTTTGTCTCTCTTAGTGAAAATGTAAGTCCTGCCTTCATTTCTTCCTAGCTAATACCTGTTCTGTTATCTGCTCTGCCATTTCCCTTGTATCTTTCGATCTGTCCTTTCCCATACTTTCCCACTGCATTCTCTTTCTGTTTCTCCATATCCTTTTCTGTCCTCTTGCTCACCCAATGCTAAGCTTACCCTGATGCATTCACAGACTGTGCTCATGGAAATGACCCACTCAGCACAGTTTTGAGAGGCTGGAGACTGGGACCAATGCACTTGGCTCTGTCACACAGTGACTGTGACCTTCTGCAAGTGACTTGAGTTCTCTGTGTCTCAGTTAGCTTATTTGAAGAGGGAGCACTGATAGTATGTGCCTGGCAGAGTTGCTGTGAGGATTAGTGAGCTAATGAGGCCCTAGGCACAGCACCTGGCACAGAGTAGGCTCTCACAGGTGAGCTATTGTTATTAATAGTCACCATTCACTCAGGGTTGTGCCTGGTGACCCACCAAGGTCAAAATAAAAGGGAATTCTGGTACTTTTTCTTTGAAAAGGAAAAAAGGGATACAGACTCAAGGCTTGTGAATTAAAGGGAAGAAGATACGCTATGAAAATGCTAGCATATGAAAAGTCTGAGAACTAAAGCTCTTATTTTGTGTATTCCCTCTCCCTTCCTCGGAAATACGAAGAGATGAAGCTTTAGCATCTTTAAGTGCTCAGGCTCACAATATGAGCTCACTTCAGGATGAGCAGCACTGTGTTCAGAATCACCATTGACTGAGATTCAACAGATCCTATTAAGCCATATAATGTAGCAAAACATCAGAAGCAGGCAAAAATCATGAAACTTACTTTTTAGCAGGTTGTGGAAACTGTGGAAAAAACTTGTTATACTGAGGATGAAGTAGACCTCACTCACCTGCAGGAGTCTACTTGGCTGATTAATGTTTGTCCCTTTTGCAAAGCATCAGCTGTGCAGTCTTTAATTTCTCTGTGTAATTCCTCATGCCTCGCTGCCAAGACTGGCAGACTTAAACCCTCTGATTTAAGGAGCTTAAGGTAAGCTTCAACTCTTCCAAGTACATCAAATGCCTGCCAAAGAAAATATACTTTTATTTTCTGCTTTTCTATTTTAAAATCTACATCAATGTGTATACAAAACACTAGTGATTAAACCAGGTCATTCAATTTAGTAATTTGAGCATAATGAAAACCAACTATCTTGGCCTTGGAAAAACAACTGGATAGTTTCCTTTTGAGGAAACCAATCACAGCTTAGTTCAGAATAAATAAATATTGACACCATAAAGTTGTCAAAATAGTTTACATTGAGAAGGTACCAATACAATATAGTTACAACTGTGTGGAATTTGGAATTTGGAATTTGGTTTATACTTTGCACATTTTATACTGTGTACAAATAATGGATGAGCTATTTAAAAAATATCAGCAGCCCTTCATGGCCAAATGTCTTTGTAGTAGTCTTAATAGGAAATTCCCCCAATAAACAACACTTTGAACCTGAAACACTGTAGGGAAGCATTCAAGAAATTACTAAAATGCTTTTTCTCTTGCCTTGTCAAATATAAGACCTCAGCACTCTATGCAAACCATCCATCTGCCTACAAAGGAGAATAGAATTCAGTTCTAAAGCAATGCAAAGAGTAATACCAAGGTAATACTTAGTTTCTAGCATACAAAATAGGATTATGCAGAAAAGAGCATAAATTGCAAACCAAGATACCATCATGAAAGAAGATTTTTAAATTTCATTATTTCCTTCCTGTATTGACAGACCAACTCTCAACAGTAGGGACTAAAATTATTGAGTTTAACACAGAGTAGAAAGGTGCTCTCTATTGGCCATTAAGACTTAGTTGGCATTAAGATAGAGGACTATATAATATAAAGGCAATAAAAGAGGATTGCGATGATATGAGAAAAAGAAGACAAAGCAGACCACAGTGGTCTCCATAGGTCTTCTGTTATTTCAACTCTGATGCATAGCCCCTAAAGAGCAGATGAGGCAGGTGAGAAAAAAAAGTGAATAACAAGAATGCTCCTGCTACATTGCCCTTCAGCACTAAGAGAGGAAACCACCTTGCAGAATGTTCCACAGGAGGACATCCCTATAAGGAAAAGATCACAGTGCAGGATCTTGAAGAAGCCTTCCTGGATTGATGCACATGCCATCGAGTTTGTCAGGGGCTCACCAGAACTTAGTAGGAAGACCCCATGGAAAAGTCTGGGGAAGGATCTCAGACCACAAGAAATGAGAACAGATAGGGTCTTGAAACCTGAGGAAGGCCAGGGGAGAAAGGCTGAGCTCATGCTTAGAGAACACAGTTTAAACCAAGTGTATAGGCTATAGGCCTGGAGATGCATAAATGCACCCATGCCCCTGTATCTGGTTGCTGTCTTAGGAAAGAGTCTGAGTGACAGAATTGGATCCAGACGACATTGGGCTCTATAAGTGAAATCTCTCAAATGCTGTCTTATTACTTAGATGTTGATATTCTCTTTTCCCACCAATGTCCTCATATCTTTCAAGTCTGCTCTTTCTAGTAACTTGGAATGCTTAAAACAAAATCATTCCCATTTATTTAACAGCTCAGAAGTAATAACAATTAGAGTCTAATGGGAACTATGTACTTATGTCCATACAGTATGGTGCACAATTACTTTTCATTCAGTCAACAAATATTATTGGCCACCTGCTATGCTCCAGGCATATTACCTTTAACAGCCCTGAGAGAGTGAGAAATTATCCCCGTTGTTTGACTAGAGAAACCAAGTCACAGAGAGACTAAATAAATTGCACAAAGTCACAATTCTAAGAGGCAGATTTGAGACTTATACCAATTTGTCTGGCCCTGGGACCCTGCTCATAAACCCTGGGCTATAGCATAATGTGACAAAGAATCACTATGGAAGGATTAAGAAAGAAGGGGTTTTTTAGGAAAGTCTGTAGTCTTGGATAGAAAAGTGGGGTCTTAAAACTTACTTTTGGCAAATAAATAACTGCTTTTTTCTTACAGCTGAGAAAAGATACAGAGAAAAGTTGAGAGGTTGATGTACAGAAAGATCAAGAGAAAGGCTTGTATTATGGTATAAGACTGTAAAAGAAAGCTTTTAAAAGAAATTTTGATCCCAAAGAACTCTTTCTTATCTGATTCTTTTTATTTCTTTCTGTTGACAACAGACAAAATGCAACAAGATGCTGTTAGAAAAGAGGATAATTTGGTGACATTTTGGATCCTTCCACAACTCATTGAGACATGGCTGGGCAAGAACTCTTGTTTCTGGAAGTTTGTATTTTAAATTCTGTATTGTTTATTTTGAATAAAATGTTGCTTCTTGTTAATGGAGGGTGAGTTTTAAAGTCAAAGCTTAAAGCAAAAATCTGTTATAGTCAAAATTGCTTTGAATTCCTTTAAATCAAACTTAAAATTTAAGACACATGAGTTAGAAATGCATATGTACATTTAGGATTGAGAAACCCTGAGCTACACTAAAGGAAGAAGTCTATATGTAAATGTCAGGGATGTCTCTTTCTTCCTTTAAGATACTGGTATGAATGGAGAAAGGAGAGAGAAATCCAAAGTGTTTTTCTTGCCTACAAATTTAACTCCACTCTGTTAATATTAAACCAACATAACCTTAATACAATGTCATGTTTGTTGCTGTTTTGAGAATCAAAGAAGAAAAATATGAAAGTAACTAGGCATGATGGCAGACATGTAGTAAGTACTTAGAAAATATTTGTGAGTGGTTGCTCTCAATCTTGATTGATTGAACACATCTTTAAAAAGTCACTAAGAAAGACATAGCCACCTGCTGCTTGCCATTTATCCCATGGGGCCTTTCCTCTTGAAGCCCCACTGAGCAACTGACACTCTTACATCTTCAAGCCCTGGTCTCCTCTTCATAGACGTTAGACACTAAAACTACAAGGTCACTTTATGCATGTGTGCTATCGCTGTATGCCATTCCTAAATGCTGCCCTAAAAGTATTATTTCCTAACAGAATGTAAATAAACTGAAGGGCCAGACATTCACTTTATTCACTAATATTTCAAAGGCAAAGGTAATCTGTAAATTGGAATCAAAATAGTCAAATTTTCTTCCAGTTTTTTCTGAAATAGAACAAAGTGTTAGGAAATCATTCAGTTATAAATTTCTCTGCAATAAAGCAAAGAACTAGCTATGGCAGTAGAAAGATGAGTGATCTCATTCTTTCATTAGCTCAACAAATATATTTGTGGAATAGATAAAGTGGGTTGGATGCTGCAAAAACAGTATAGTCCTTGATCTGTAGCCTAACCCCACTGGGAATTATTCTGGAGATACAGAAATCAGTGCTAAACTTTGGGACTTTAAGAGGAAACTTCTTTCAAGATTATACTGTGTGTGTGATTGTTTCTCTCATTCCCATGCAGAATTTGACAAGGAAACCATGTGCTGATTCTGGAAATGATGTAAGAATTACTGCTCTCATTTAATCGACCCCTGAAATAGAACAGAGAGCTTTTCTATTTAACACATCCATAGGGAACCTGATATATGGGATCCAGCCAGGAAAGAATCTCTTTGTTGCACACACAGTGCAGAACAGGTTATTTCTGGTGATAAGAACACTGTGACCCTTACATAAAATCCTTTGGAATTAATGCCCCCTCCTTCAGTTTTTTCTTTTCACATCTCCCACTTTCTTCAAACCTTATTTGTGCAGTTCAAATAAAGCTTTTACGACTGGATTGGGGAAAGGGATATAAACACAGGATAATATCTTCTCCTGCTGGGTTCTAGCTCTTCTGGTCCATTTCATATGGTACTACTCAGTTCTCACACACATAAGGAGGAGACAGGATCACCTTGTTTGGACCCTAATTTGGAAAGGACTCGGGAATTGCTTGGTTTTTGTTCTTTAAAAGGATAATAAAAAAACTTTCCTTTTCTTTTTGTTAAGCACAAGATCCAAGAAAGGCTGCACCAAATCAAATAGAGATGGTATCAGGACATAGCACATTTTATTCTTTTTAAAATTATCTACAAGACTACAAATTTAGGCAAGAATCATGAGTCATCCAGCCTAGTTCTTAGATCATGTTGCTTTACAAAGATCTTTAATAAGTAACATTGTTAGCTTTCTTGACTAATTAATTTGAAAAGAATCAACATTAAATAATAATAAAACTATAGAACCTTGAAAATAATCAAGAACACAAAATGCAAAACAGGTTCTAATTATAGCAATTAGTTTGACTACCTATGTAGACTTAGATTTTCTCCTGGTTCAGTTTTTATAAAGGCTAAAAGCTTCAGTTTCCTTTCCTAAATATTACCTAATATGACTTCTGTTACCTCTCAATCTGGTGAGCTGATTCTTAATTCAAGTCTTGGTCAAAGCTGCCCTAGTTTTCAAATCCTGAAGTCCACAGGCTAAAGGATGATGAAGTTTCTCACTCCCTAATTTTTCTGCCCCCTTCTGCTGCTCCTGCCTACTCCTTTCCTCTCAAAGGTTGTTGCTGGTAGGCTCAGAACTCCCTCCCTGTCATAGGAGATTAGAGGTGTTAATAAGATATTTATTTAAAACAGTTAACTTCTAATGAAGTTTTTAGCTCATCATCTGAAAATACATTGGAAAAGAAAGAGCTTTAGATAAAAGTGGCATGCATCTAAAGTATTTTCTCAACAACAAATGGAGAAAGTTTATGTACTGATCATCTCTTAGTTTTTCTGAGGCAAATCCACCTTGGAAATGAAACTAGACCCATTAAGGTCTTTAGGCAGTCTGAGTCTATTTATTTTATTTTACCTAAATTGACCTAGGTAATTTTTAGAATAATCTTGGGAATATTAATACAAAAATGTATATTTATAATGTGTAAAACATTTTTTTCATTCATTAAAAATAGTTAGACCTCATATTGGGGATATGAAAATAAACCACAGCATTTAAGTTACATCAAAGTAGCTACTGCAATACTAAATGCATACATAGGGATAAAATAATGGCTAGACGTGGGGAGTGCTTAGCTATTTTATGCTGTAGTCATAGCTTATTTAGACATTATGATGATCCTGTGAGA